ACATCCTCTCTTCACTAATTCGTTGATAGTTCTCTCTTATGTTTCTATTATATATTACCTATATCCAATAGAAAGTCAAGGTTTTCATCTATCAAATGGTGTATTATATCACATTGTGTTCTGAACAGATAACCATCAGTTTAACTCTGAGTAGCAACATCGTTCCCATGGAGAAGTTAAGCAGCTGATGAGTAGACAGGCCGACTCCCTTTCCAAATGAGCGAGAAGAAGCCAGTCATTCATTTAAAAGTGAAAGTTCAACCCCAGAGCATGAAGATGTAGAGCAAAGGTTTGCACCACCCAATAGAAAATGTATGATGCCAAAGCCAGTCTGAAGGGTAGGGTGCAAAATTGTGACACCAACCCATGATGGACAAACTGAAGATAATGATGAGAACACTCCAACAAGGGAATGTACAGATAAGTATTACAGTCGTCCATCTTGGTCATCCAAAGACCTGAAGAAAAAGCCCACCAAAGAGTAAGGAAGGATTCAAAGGTGAAGTGTGGGGTATGAACATATCAGTTGAGACAGGACAGGTTGATGACCAGCCTCCAGTTCCCAGTCTTTTTGGGAACTATCAACCAGTGGGAGTAAAACCCCCATGAACCACATGGAGCAGGTTCCATAACCTGTTGTGTGAGGAGGTCTTGCACCACTTCGGATAGATGCTGGCATGACAAGGGATCCCAAGGAGGAAAAAAGGAAACATGCATGTGGGACCAGTGAGGAAGGGTAAGAAAGGGTACGACGAATCCTTCTGAGAAAACTCAGTGAACCCAAACATCGGAGATGAAAGGACTCTACCAATGAATGAAGGTTGCCAGACAACCTCCCACTAGACCCAAACCCACCAGGTAGTCACAGGAACTGTTGTTGGTGTACAATGCATCGTCGTGAAAAATGAACAGTGACACTGTGGGAAGGAGAAACAGGTAAGGGCTCGGAAGGGAAGGGTCGAAAGACAGGATTTGGTGCCACGCTCATCTCATCTGAGGTTGTTAAACATGAAACGTTTCAAAAATGGGGCCATAAGAAGGTCCCGTAGATAAGGGGGTGGGAGACGGCCCCGTGACAATATGCAATCACAATCCAAAAGGTCCCAACAACAAATAAACCATGTTTGCAGGGCCAGAGCCGAAGATGACAGGTGGGCCAATGTGGAAGTGAGGAGGGAGAGGACATCTACAGAAAACCCCTCAAGGTTCCTGTGAAGAGCCTCAGACAGGAGATGAGTCGAAGAGAGGTACCACAGGACTTGTCAGGGTAAAATGAGGGTGGGAATACTGGGCATAAAGATGAATGAGAGAATCAGGCAAAACACAGGTAAATCAAATGCTTGCAAACATAAAGTGGAAAACAAAATCTTGAAATAGAATAAATTAAATAAAACCACTTCAAAAAATAAAGAGCAAAAAGAAAGACGTCTGAACTCAAGCACTGCCAAACGAGAAGTGATGGTTCAGTAGTGGGGCATAAAGAGTAACATGTGTCACGTGACAGTAGTGCTCTCCTATTGGTGGAGAGATGATGCATGATGATTTGCATGAGACATGTTGGAATTTTTTATTCCAATAAGGGGGGGGGGGGCAGAAATTTTGTGACATGTATTACAAAAAAAATTCACATACAGATGGCAGCACAAAATGGGAAATGTTGATCTTGTGTGAAGAGGGAAGAACTGTATTGGAAAAAAATGTTTGTTTTGTTACAGCTTCAAAGCCTTTAATTATCTCTGCCCATTCAATATAATTACCAATGATAATGAATGTATTAATACTAGTTTTCTCTTTCATAATATTAGATTATTTATTCAAATGCTCTTAATGTATTTCAGGATATTACCTATTAGAAATACAAATCCTTAGATGTATCTTTTTTAGCCCTGGCAATAAACCTGGTGTTTTATATAATGAAAATCAAAAATAATTTATGTATGTTATTGCAAGGTTTACTAGAACATACACAAAACTTTGTAATGAGTGTATGTATGGTACTTTCACTTTTAAGATGCTTAAATATCTCCTTAGTCAAAGGTTTAATGTTTTTATATTAAACCCAGTTCTTTAGAAAGAGTTGTTACATCAAACTTTTCACAATTAAAAACAAAGCTGTTAGTTGCTTTACTGTCATGAGTAATGATATATCTACTACATAAATAAGTAAAATGTGCATTAAGATTTCTCTTACTCATGTTGATTGTTGTTATATAAAAAACGCTCTCTATATAGCCATCCCTAGGTATGAATTAAACTAATCAAGGAAAACTCTGATCAAACCAATGAACACAATGGTTAAAAACTCTTCTAATACTAATTTCTTAGTATAAACCATTTTTATAGGTATCTTTAACAACTTAGAAAATATAATTTTTTTTATATGCAGAAATGATGATTTAATCCAATTCTCTTTTTCCTATATCTTCAAAATAATTGCATCTAAATGAGCATGAGGTTAAAAAGAAAATTTTCACACCCAAACTGGAATTATGAATATGCTAATTTATCATATAAGTTCAGCAGAGTTTGTCATAGCTAGATGATACAACAAAAAAGGCAGTGAAAAATAGAATTGGATGTGTAAGTGAGGCTGATAACTTACCACATATCAATAGCTGTGGTCTGTATTCTGGACTGAAGCAAAAGCTCTGGGGCACGGTACCTATACAATATTTTTATATACATGAAAGATAAATATTATCAATGTCAATTTTTTCAAAAACAATGAAAAAATAATTGATAATCTTACCTATTAAAGTATCTATGAAAGAACATTTGTAACAATGAGATTTAAAAGACAGCAATAGAACAGGTTGAGTATAACAGAGCAATTCAAATTTTGCTTAGTATAAAAATAAGTACCAACCTAATTTAGACAACATAACTGTACAAAGTATAAGAACTGTACTATTTTAGAAAAACAGAATCAATATAAACCTGGTTTAGAAGACAGAAGTATTTATGTATGGTTTGAATACAAAAGGACATTAATCTATTTATAAGAAATAAAGTATGCAATCTTAATTACAGTGACAAACATAACATTCAATTGAAAGACAGAAGAATATGGGTCATTTTTAGAAAAAAAAAAAGGAAGTATATCACTGATATTTAGAAGAAAGAAATATGCTAATCTAATTTGTAAAACAAAAGTAAACTAATCTGGATTAGCTGCCAGATTTACACAAGCTAAATTTAAAAGTCACTGTTATACCGTGTTATTTAGCAAAATGCACTAATCAAAAACATAAAACAGAAGAGATGAAAAAGAAAACTAGGTCTTGTGTGTCTAGAAGACTCAATAACACCAAAGGATATCAGTATAACTTATGAGATAAGAGTTAGGTGATTAAAGCATACCACAGTCATTTGGAAGGCAAAAGACGTATACTGTTCTGAGTTGAAAAAAAGAAATATTCCATAAAAAGTTTAAAAGACAGAAGTATAACATAATGACTTGGAAGACAGACAGATACCATGCAATAAAATTTACTATGCAAAATATAAGAATAAAATAGAAATGGGTTGTTTTGAATAAAGGCAGAAATAATTATATCTGGTTTAGAGAGAAGCACACAAATCAGGTTTACAAATACAGATAACACAACTGTAAAAATCACACTAAGAAGATTAAGAATTAGTAAACTAGTATCACAAGTAAAGTTAATCAAAAAGCAATTGTATTTAAATTTTGAATGGTATTCTCAGAAAGGGCACCTTTCTTCAGCTAAGTTTAGCTTGAAAATGATTAAAATCTGCAGTGCTCTAAGACAATAAATGTCATACAATTCTAATTATGCAAGTATTTGATTAAACAGCAAATTAAAATTACACAAACAGTTGAAAAAACAAGAAAAATTAAAAACTAGCCTGTTCAAATGTACACGTCTTGTTTCATGAAAAATTAATAAACAAAATATTTGCAAGTAAAAATTGATATATATATACATACACACACAAATATGTACAAGACATTACCCTTCTTTCTCTATAATATAGAATAGTCATCAACGTCTTTCTCAGCTACTAATGTCAAAAATTTGTATGAAACTTATATATATGGTATTACACTTTTTCACAGATATCCCAAGATGACTATCCATAAGTACTTCACGTGTTATAGTGTTCATCATATGCGAGACATTTCCTCTATTTCTCGAAAACTATATAGTTCCAAAATGATGTCATTTTTTACTCAATACATCTGTTTTATAACTCACGAAAACTTTGTTTTCTCAACAGAGTAGAGCAATTAGTCAAATTTATTAATCAATTAATTGACAGGCTCATTATTCAATTACATAGGATTAATTGATTAGTATACTCCTTCTACAATCCCCCTCAACCCCCCACATAAGCAAAAAAAAAGCTTTATAATAATATTGATTTTGTTTTCTTTCTTAAGTAATTTTTGGATTACCCATAGTAACTTGCATATTTTGTGAAAAGAATATTTTTTGTCTAAAAGAAGATTGCTACAAATGTTTTTAAAGGTAATCAAGATATTTCCTACTTGGCAACTGACTTGCTAATGTCGACTAAACAGCACTATGTGGTCGTCATTATGTTTTCAGAATATCAAAATATGCAGTAATCCCACAATGACATTCTGTAAATTAAATAAATTGGTAATTAAAAAAGGAAAACATGTTTTTTCTCTCATGATAAAGGTAATAATGCATTTATTTAAAACACATCACAACTGCAGTTGGAAATAATTAAGTAGCTAGTTGGCCAACTTATTTATGTAATGCGTATGAATAGGATAAACATGAAAATAGTATTCAGTACAGATTTAAGTCATGCAGTCACTTACCACACATACTTAACAATAAACTTCACAAAAATGTTCTGATTTGACAAATTTATTTGGTGAATATAATTTTTGTTTGTTTATTTTGAATTTTGCACAAAGCTACATGAGGGCTATCTGTGCTAGCCATCCCTACTTTAGCAGTGTAAGACTAGATGGAAGGCAGCTAGTCATCACCACCCACCACCAACTCTTGGGCTACTCTTTTACCAACGAATAGTGGGATTGACCATCACATTATAATGCCCCCACGGTTGAAAGGGCAAGCATGTTTGGTGGGACGGGGATTCAAACCCGCGACCCGCAGATTGCGATTCGAGCTCCCTAACCACCTGGCCATGAGTGAATATATTCTTTAAAAAAATTATGTTCACAAAAATTGCACCTGAACAAAACCACAGAATATCTATTAAAAAGTAAAAACACCATATTTAATCAAAGAAACAAACATCAACAAAATGCCTTAATTAAGTCTTTGGCATTATCCAAGTTATGGGACTTCTTTGTTTCATACAGCGTATATATTCCTGTATCTAGTTAAGGTATTTGAACTTGATGACAAAACCTTCTCCAAATATTGTACATTTGTTAGTTTGTATAATTTTCTTTGTTACCTATCTCTCAATTGTAGAAGTTTACCTTATCCCAAGTCATATGATGTCTTCTTATTGAAGATAATATTTGTAGCTTTCAGATATAATCTAACACAAAAATACTTTCACAATTCATAAACAAAAGACACCAAAAGAGACATTTACAGAATATAAAAAATATCTTAAATCTATATATTTACTATTATGTTATAGTCTAATTTTTACTCTATCCAATCATATTTAAACTTTCTTTATAGCTGTTTTCAAATCTATGTTTCCTTAGTAAATGATCAAACCACTTAATGTGGCATAATAGCAAGGTTTCAGCCAAGGCCTATACAAAAACTATGGTCAATGGCAGAAAATCAAGAAATGGATAATATATTTTCAATGATTGATAGCTTCTTAACAAAAATAAAATTATTCTTTGCAATAGACAGGAAAATTCTCAAATAAATAAACTTGTGACTTATCTCAATAACAGGCAAAACTTTTTGTAGCTATTTAGAAATGAAAATGTGAACTTTTATTTTTCTTCATGAATTGCACCAAATACTAACCTTTGTAAATAAAAATTATCATACATCACACCAACTGCATTATTGTTAAAAACAATAAAAGGTTTATTCTCTTATCAGCCACCAGTTGCAACAGTACTGTGTACAGTTTTCCAGACTTATATCTTAATGGACTTTTGAAATTTTAATTCATTTCTAACCCACTAGAATTATATAGTTTTAATATATATTGATATAAACTTTGAGTTTTAGCAGAAAATGGAAGCACTGGTCATCATTGGAGAGGAAGGGTGGAAAGTGTGAGACGAGGTAAGTACCTATCAGAAATACATTTTCAGTATAGAAAAATTAGAGCTTCCAATATCGTACATTACCTACGCTCACATAGATAACTAGAATCCCACATTCAATAGGTGGAGGGACCAGTGCATGGAAAAGAAAGAAGCATCCTTTGAAAGTGTTTGAAGGACACTCCCTAAGATGAAATAGTCATATTCTAAGATCTGATGTGGGGACTGTACAATTTCTGAACCAGGTATACTCTTCGCCCAACATAGAAAGATGTTGCACATATGGGTCGAAAACTGAGGAGCACATCCAAGTGGGGAGGACTAGAATTGCAATGGTTCGAACAATACAGTATTTATGAAACTCTATCCAAGAAAATATAGAGTGGGTAAAATTAAAAGAATGTGTCCTAGGTGTAAAGTGGCTAGGGTGCAACTTACTATACATGGCAAGTCAACTACATCCAAAACCCATGCTGCTGGGAACTGACATCCACAAGGGGGTAGGATGAGGATCATACCATTAGTAAGTCAACTACAGTACAAAACCTGGCCACCAGGTACCAAGATCCAAGTGGGGGTAGGAAAGAGGATCATATCACCGGTAAGTCAAGTACAATCCATAACCTAGCCACCGGGTACTGAGATCCAAGTGGGGGTAGGAAAGAGGATCATACTGTCTTCCTCTCAAGTTCATGAGACTGGAGAGAATCAAGAACCCCCAGACCCATGAACAGGACACATGTTAATATAAGAAATTGATAGATCAACATTTGGTATGGAAAAATGTGTGTTTAATGTAAACCATCTCCCTCAAAATTGAAATTGACCAGAACCAATCCAAGCATAGTGACATCCTTGGAATAATAAGCATCGAGGGATAGCGGAAGAAGAAGAACCATAATCATCTGCAAGTACCCCCACTGTGACCCACAAAATTGATGGAGTAACAGGAGTATAATGGAGGGAGGAATATAGACATTTGTGAAACATGTGTGAGGACTTATGTGGATTGGTTCAACTCTAAATCTAAAATCCAGCCATGAGGAACCGACATTCACGTGGAGGTAGGATGATGGATCCTAACTGAAGGGGTGAACTGCAATTTTCATGGCTCCTTCCCATTTATATTTATTTCATATTGGAAGATATCACGTCATCTACACCAGCAGAACACCACTGCCCTACTCTCAACTGAATGGTTTTATAATAATATCTATATTTTGTTTGTATTTCCTTAACCCATCCAGTGGAAAGTGGTAACGACTCTCAAACTCCACTGGAAGAAATTGGGGCTAAAACGCAGTGGAGAGTCCAGAAGAATGACAACATCTGAGACAGTGCAATGAGTGACCACGGAAACGTATTTTGAAAAGCAGACCATACCAATTTATTCAATACAAGGCATGGCAGGGATGGGCAGCTATTACCTTCTGGTTTACCCATGTATT